AAGAAAGGAGGAGGGGAGAGAAGATAGGTAGAAGAGGGTGAAGAAATAACAGTGTTACTGTTGTTATTATTACTGCTGGATTTTGTGTAGGAAAAGCTCTAACTCAGCTTTGGAGATGCTCAGGATTTTTGTTTTACAGCCAGGCAATTAATGATGTATCTATACGTGAGTTTCCCAAGCTCGGCCAATATCTGCACTGCAGCAAGTAGTTATTCAGGAGGTTGTGCTACACGCTGTTAAATACTTGATAGCAATATACTTTGCAAGTATCCAGCAGATACCAGTAGCTCCTTCAAATTTTAACAATCAGTGCCTTCAGGTATCTCCAAATTTTACGATGGGGGAAATCACCCATGTTAAGAGAAGTGTTAGTAGATCTCAATGACAGGATATCTATGGCTTAGAAGATGCTGAAACTCTCTTGAGTGGGCAGCCACCCAGACAAGGAAAGGTCAAATGCTGGTGACTGGCTGTCACCAATCAGGACTTGTGCTCCACCTAAATCTCCAGCATGAGATTTTCAAACGAGTGCTTGTTGAGAAACCACATAGCAACAGGCTGAGAATTCCTGAACAAAGTATGAACTACACAGACATGAACAATTTGGCAAAAACACAATCCATTTAGAGACCTTATCACACACCTTAGCAATGCCTGTGTTCCCCACTGCACTAAGAAGTGTGGTCAGAGAGAAAGCAGGAAGCCAAAAATACCTGTGCTTTCATGCAGCTGTCAATTCTGGCTTCAGGCAAGGCTCAGTGTCTCTACTCTTGTTTTTCCAATAGCCGTACAGAGTTCGTAATAATGAATACCCAGACCTAACTAGTTTTTGATTCTAAGCTGAGGTTATCTATTCACTGTGGGGCCTCAGGGCATAATAACCACCAGGGGGGTGGGAAATCACTATGAACACAAGAAATAATTTTGTCTTCAACCTTTTGAGGTAAAAAATAGAATGTATTTTTTCTTGTTCATGGGATGGCTTAGCTGCCTTAGTTTGCCTTACTATATTGCACCTCTGTTGATCTTTGTGCTATCCATACGTGGACCAGAAGCACCATATAGATTATTAGTTCTCAAAATCTTAGCCAGGAAATGGAATCTTGGAGGCCAGGGGATAGGCATGGGGCAAGGTGATGGGATAGGAGTCAGGCCTAAGCAAATGAAAAGGAGGGAATGTGTGGACATGATGCCCTAGGAATGCAGGCCAGAGCGACTAGCACAGCAGGATGGTGGGCCAGGATCTCGTGGGAAGGTTGTTAGTTCCAGTTTTGTGCCACCCTGAATCTCATGGGTTTGATCTTATTTTTTGGATTTTATGTGAAATCTCCTAGTTTTACCATGTGGCCTTTACTTTTTAAAATCCTTGGTGGGCTTAAATTAAATACAACTGCAAACAATACAAGGCTTCATTTGTGAAATCAGTGAACAAATGGGAAGATACTATTTCTCCCTTTCATAACTTCTAAAAATTGTTAGTTATCTATTTGTTTAATTATTTGAAAAGCAGAGGAACAGAGAGAGAAGTAGAGGGAAGACACAGAAGGAAGTCTATCTGCTGGTTCATTCCGCAAGTGCCTACAGCAGCTAGAGAGAGGCCAGAATGAAGCCAGGAGCCCATCTGCGTTCCACACGTAGGTGGCAGGGGTCTAAGCTCTTGGTTGATCTACCACTACTTTCCCAGGCATTCAACAGGGAGCTAGCTATAGTAGAATCAGGGCAGCCAGGGCTTGAACTGGCACTCCCATATATCATGCTATTATTGCAAATGGCATTTTAATGTGCTATGCCACAATGCCAGTCATCAATATGCTATCTTCCTTTGGGAAGACAGTTGTGGCTTCAAGGGACTTCTTAACGCTAGAGGAACCACTGAGTAGAGTGGGAGATATTGACAAGAGTGAGGAAGATAATACAAAATTCTGATGCAATGTAACTTGGGTTCTAAGTAGGTATTTATACACAGCACTCACTGCCTCACATCTTCAAGAAAAGAGAGTGTGGGGTGAGGGGAAGGGGAAAGATGGGCAGTCTAGCACAACACAGCTGGACACCCACATTCTATATTGCTTTGCATACTGCCTACAGATCTAAATTTCTGCTAGTGTGCCTGGGAGACAGCATGTAATGACCCAAGTATTCTGTTTTGGTCATGCACACAGGAGACTCAGATGGAGTTCTTGGTCCCTGGTTTCAGCCTGATATAGATCTGACTGTTGTGTTTTATTACGGAGTGAACCAATGCATGAAATGTCTTTCTCTTTCTGTCTTCCACTCTCTCACTCTGAATTTAAAGGAAGGAAGGGAGAAAGGGAGGGAGAGAAAGAGGGAGGATGAAAGAATAATGGATGGACGGATGGATGGATGGATGGAAAGAAGGAAGGAAAGACAGGAAGAGGGGAGGTAGGAGGAAAGGGAGGGAGGAAGGAACAGCCAGGACATGAACTAGAACCCATATGGGATTCCAGCGCATGTAAGACAAGGATTAAGCCACTGAGCCATTGCACTGGGCCCAAATATATATTTTTATAACTCTAAAATTTTCATCGATATAAAGGTATTATTGAATTCCAACTCTGAGTCTATTGACTTGATTTGGAAATAATTACAGTGTCAGAATCTTTTTTTTTTTCTTTTCTTTTTTTTTTTTTTATTGTTGCTTACATTATATTATGTAGTACAGTTTTATAGGCGCTGGTTGTTTGTTATTTTCCGAACCTGTCATTGATACTGTCTCAACCCAGATGTTTCGAAGAATGGAACTTGCATTATTTTTAACATATTGTTTACCCAATACTATGTCAATTAATTCCATAATGTTGTATAATGATACTGAGGCCTTGTTGGGGCTTTTAACTGACTGGATCTTTACTCTGTTAGACCTATCTTCAGACAGTGTCAGAATCTTGATCTCTCCTTAAATAGTCCTCCCCAACCACTCTCCAGACTCGTGAGTTCTGCTGGTTGTTTTCCTCACTTTTCATATTAGATCTATAATAAATAATTAATCCACAGCTTTGTGTATTGCTAACAACCACATAAATTTATCCCTGCAAAGCAGTGTCACAGAGAAGTAGGCACATAATCAGAGAGAGAAAGAAACAAGAAAAAGAAAGATAGAAGGCAATCAGGCAGCCTGCTGGCCAGTGAAGTACTGAAGTTTCAATGTATGGGACCAAGGTCAATGGCTAAGGAGAAGTCCATGTGGAGAAAAATTTCTTATTTGTGAACTCTTTAGCTAATACCTGAATGATAAGAATAACCTCTCATAAAATGAGTGAATTTCTCTTAGTGATATCAGAAGTTAGAAACTCCAGAAAGATTCTTGTTTAACACACTCCTGTTCTGACACACTGACATGAAAGGTAATAAAATGGCCTAGAGCATCTGAATGTTTATACTTTCTTAAAGTATTTATTAATTTATTTAAAAGATAGAAAGACAAAGACAGAGAGGAAGAGAGAGAAATATTTTCTATTTGCTGGCTGACTCCCCAAATGGCTGCATGGCCCAGGCTGAGCCAAGCTAAAACCAAGAAGCAAGCTAGTTTAGACAGCTTATATGTCTGCTGTCTGAAACTACTCATTTCATTAATTGGCTTGATATTCAACAGGATTTAATTTTATGAAATAATATTGATAGTAAGTGGGAACTACTCTTGAAATCTTTTTAATAAATTTACTTTATAAAACAAAAGGCTAGAAAATATATACTGGAGCCTTCTTTAATATTAAATTTCTACTAGGTCTCAAAGTGTGACAATCACTTCTCTCTGTTGCAGACAATTAATGAACTCCTGTGGTATTGGGGTGAGCCCCATGAAGGAAAGACAAAATGAGTTCCAGAAAGAAGCCCTGGCTTCTGTGAGTGACACCAAGAACCAGTCCAGAGCAGGAGAGTAGGCTCTGCCATGTGTCTACATAGCACTCCAATCACCCATCCACTCCAGGCCCACTGCCTCCATGAATCCATGCCTGACTCTTTCAGTGACTTTGGCCTTGGAAATCACCTGATGACAGCATCAAAGCAAGGACTGAGATGGCCATATATGGAAGACAAATCACCTAAAACACCCATTAACCACAGCAAGAGAAAAGGGGACACACACACACACACAAAAAAAAAACCCAGGGGGAGGGTACATCATTGTACCTTCTACAATTTCTATTCCACCTTCACTAAGAAGCCACGCTTCACTTTTTCTTTACCATCACCCTCTTGCATTCTTCACTCACACACAGGCACACACTCATTCCTGCATCACATCTTCTTCTGCACCTGAGGATATGAAGAGAGCAGCTTAAAGGGTTCTCTTTGTAGCACTCAGGATTGATCACATTGAGCAATAGGGCAAAAACCTTACAACCTCCCAAAGTAATAGTAGACAAAGCTTGAGAAGTCTAGCCTTGCAAGCCCAGAAAACACCTTTTCTTGAAACAAACTGACTGTAAAAGGAGCTACTAGTTAACCAGATTATTTGTTTCAGTAAGAGCAAACGCTAAGCCAACATGTGGCCAAAGCAAATGCAGATTCCTAAATGAGAAAATCAAAGACAGGAAAAGCTCCTCTTAAAATTCCAAGAATCTGTCATAGTTTTTCTCAAAGACTCAGTTGAGTTCAATTGCATACTGTAGGTCATAAGCTATTTCTTCTCAGCAGAGTTAAACTTCTTTGAGGAAACTTTGACCAAAGACTGCTTCACAGTGTTTCTTTAGAAAACAAACTAATGGAATTGATGGGTTTTTGATGGGAAGACTTGCTTCTTCATGAGTACCCCGGCTTCACAATGTCACAGCAGAAGGTTCTCAAGAAGACAGCTGCCTGGTATAATTTGGTCATTTTTCAACACATGTGTGTCCATGTACATATACACGCACACACACAGAGTACCCACTCTGATACCAGGGACACGGCACACAAGCCGCTCGCATGAGAGTGGGTATGGCAGGGCTCTGTAAGCTCAGAAGCGGCCTACAGGCTTGGGGGCAAGGCTTGCTGACCTGCACTGGCTCGGGTGGGAGTTGGACCACATGTTGCATGCGCTCGCTGTGGTGATGCCTTGATTCCTCCTCATAGATCACATCCCTCTCATGCTGGGGGAGGTTCAGGAAGCGGCGGATGGTGCACAGGTTCTCCCAAAGAGTGCGGTTTTCCGGGCTTGGGTTCTCCTTCCAGCGGAGCAGTTCACACAGCCAACCCTGCAGTGAGAGGAAGCACCTTGAGTCGACATGCAGAATCCAGAGTGGCTGAGTCCCTCAAACAAGTATCACTCACTTTATTCTCTGTTAAAATTGCCACACCAACCTGAGGAAATATTGAAACAGTCTGATCTCTAAAAAGTAATGAGTGACCACAAACACAGCATGACAATCCCCAAGGGTGTCCACTCACATTAGCTTATCGTATCACTCATTTATAGAATAAACTAGTCATTGGTTCCTTACAAAACATAACTCAGCCGTTGGGGTTGTGGCACGGGGGCTAAACGGCAGCCTGCGATGCTGACATCCCAAATAAGCACTGTCCAAGTCCCAACTGCTCCATTCCAATTCAGAACTTTGCTAATGCACCTGTGGAAGCAGCAGCAGATCACCCAAGTACTTGGGCCCCTGCCACCCATGTGGGAGAAGGGCCTGTGAGTTCAACCTGGCACAGCCTCAACCATTATGGCCATGTGGGGAATAAACCAACCGACGCAAAATCTCTCCCTCTCTCTGTAACTCTGCCTTTCAAATCAATCAATCAATCTTTTAAAACAACACAATAAAGCAAGTTTATAGTTCTGAATATCAGAAATGCTCATTAGTACTGGTCAGCCAAATGGGCCATATTCTGCTACCCAAATGCATAGTCACGCTGTTCGGAGAAAAGTGCACATCTATGTATTCCAAAGTGGTACATTCTTTTTTTTTAAAGACATTTATTTTTATTAGAAAGGCAGATTTACAAAGAGACAGAGGGAAAGGTTTTCCATCTGCTGACATTCCCTAGTGGCTGCAACAGCCGGATCTGAGTCAATCCGAAGCCAGGAGTTTTTCCCAGGCCTCTCACACAAGTGCAGAGTCCTAAGGCTTTGGGCCATCCTCTGATGCTTTCCCAGGCCACAAGCAGAGGGCTGGATCTGAAGTGGAGCAGCCGGGACAGAAACCCAAACCCACATGGGATTTCAGTGCTGCATATGGAGGAGTAGCTTACTATGCCACCACACCAGCCTGAAAATGGCAAATTCTACAGAATAAAATCCCAAGGGTAAATAGCACCAAGCTCTCTAGGGAGGGGATATTCTCACAACGATCATTACCTCATGAAACAGAAATACCTTTAGCAAGAATGAACAAAATAAATAATTGCACAATTTCTGGATGCCTTGTATTTGTGACCCTCCTGGCCACTGTGTTCCCATTACAGCCACGTCTGCACAAAGGCAGGTAGTTGGTCAGGCCACACCTGCCAGTGCCCATCCCCCCCAACTCTGGCATCCAGATCTTCTCTCTCTTGCAACTGCACACACAAAAAAAAATGTAATGCAAATAATGATGGATTATATGAAAATAATACAGAGGATGCTGTCAACATCATTCACTGGTTCATGTCAAAATATTTTACCCAGTAGCTTTCTAACCCATCATTTCCAAGCTTCACTGCTGATTTTGCAAACAAGAACTGTCCCACATCACGTCTCTTGCAAAAGAGTAAAAAATTTTCTGAAGAGGTGCATAAACAACTTTGTGAAAATTCTGAATAATCAAAAAAAAAGGAAAAAAGGAAAGATAAATTCTGAACCTCAACAAATTATCTATCATAACTTATAAGCCAACAAAAGTTCCTGACATGCATTATAAAAACCCCATATAATATTGTAAGCCGTTGTTTGTCTAACTCTCCACTGTGTCTTCTGCCTTTACCCAAAAAGAGGCAAGATTTGATTATCTCCGCTGCATCAGCCAAGACAGCAACACCAGCTGTTCTCATTGTGCAGCCTCTTCCTCACGGCCTCCATGTTAATAACCTGATCATTCCATTTTCTCCTTCAACTGCCGGCTGCAGCACCGCGAAGAGACAAAAACCCAGGCCCATCTGCAGCAGCTGTAGGCACTGAACTGTGAAGCCACCGGGGATTTATAAACTAATCTGTAACACAACACTGCCTTGTTTTTACAAGTGAGAGGCCACATTTGCGCAGACCTGATCTTTTCTTGCAATAAACTGGGAGCTTGGGAGAGTTAGAGGGTTAGGAAGAATGAAAACAAGATAGCTTAGCATTTGCTGGGAAATGTTTTTTTCCAAGTGCTTTCATGGATTTTTTTTTTCCAACTCAACTGAAAGACAGGTAATGACTGACTTTTCAAGGTGCAATGTATATGAAAATAAAGACAAAATTTTTGTGTGTCTATCAGAAAACAAATCACATTTCTGAAAATTTCCTCCTTCCAAAGTGTTTCCTCAAGGGTGTTTTTGCACAAAGGAAAGAATTACTGAAATGGAAAGGAAATCATCTGTGGAAAAAATAAGCTCCTATTTGTCTTTTCATAGAGCTGAATAGGTCTCCAACAGAACCTGCAATGTTTCACACAGCTATGTTTAACGTCTCCCAGGGGAAGTGATGGCATGGAGACCAATCATGGAATGGAGAATAAAAACAAAACCTATATGGGTTAAAAGATGAAGTTTTGAGATATCCAGACCTTAAGGAAGACAGCACCTGCTGCTCAGCCCGAGAGATGAATTGCATTGTGGGAAGCCACAGCTTGAAAAGGAGACAGGTGACAGCTGAGTGGTATCTCCACTATGACACTTGGAATGTCTCGCACAACATTCATTGCTGCATTTGATTTATATGCGCTGTTATAATCTACACTCATTACGATCACTTAGAACAACACTACAGGCCTTGTTATGGACTGTGTGCTGTCTGCCATCCGTCTTTAAGAAGTGTAGTGCTCAATTTGCCCACTGACATGCAAGGTCTTGACCTTGAAGCTATTAGGGAGCAGATTAGACACAAGTGTGATCATGTGTGCAGACATAAGCAAACCAAATTAATTTCTGGCACAGGGAGGTAGCCAACAAGACCCTGTGCTTAGGGCACCAGAGAACTTCCCCAAATCCCTGATGGAGCTGAGCTAATAGCATGTTTAAAGGAACCCGGTTTTGAAGATGAAACACATTCATGGTATTTAGAGGGTTATTAATCTAGTTTCCCCACAAAGTGTTTGCTTGGCTGATCAGATTAAGGGATGGAGCCTTCAGCAGTGCACCCCCACCACAGCAGGCCCCAAGAAATCTGTGATACTTCACAGCCTTGGACATATTGCACCATGTGTACCCAGCTGCTTCAATAATTAGCTTATGAATGTATCAGCTGGTTCTGTGATTTTTATAAATAATAACTAACCTACAGAGCAGAAAGACTGTCAGGAGTCTTACAGTAGCAAAAAACATAAGGAGCTCCTGACTCTTTCTGTTCTACTAAATGTCGATATTCTTTTTCTACTACAGGAGTTCCTCCGAAGCCATTTATAAATATTTATTTTGTCTCAGAAATGGCAATGTATTTTCTTGTCAGTTTTCCTCATGACAACCATGATTTGCTTTCTCCCTCACTCTGACTCACTTGCTCACATTTGCATGCTTATATTCAAAAGATTTACTCTTCCACCTCACTTCCCGTCTTACCTTTACTGTGGCCACATGATCCTCCCATCAGCCCAATTGGAATGTGTATCCCTGTTTTCTCAGTAGACGCTTGCACTAGCTTGCTTGGTGCTCAGTGAATGTGTGAGAAAGTGTCATGCTGCAGGCACACACACGGACGTGCATTGTGAGTGAAGCCATCACAGAACACATAAAGGGTCCCCACACTGGGATCTTTTTTTTTCTTTCATTTATATAATTTTTGCATGCCATCCAAGAAAGTTTTGCAGTATCAGGCAAAAAAAAAAGTGTAAATGTCAAATAAAACAGTGACAGATGACAGTATTCTCTATTGAATAGCACTGTTTCTGCCGTGCATGTTCAATGGGAACTCATGAATTATTAATAAACAAATCTCCTTTTTCTGTTAAAAATCTCAAGTAGGTTTTTGTTGTTGTTCCCTATGTATTATATGGAACAATCCAGGAGAATTATTTTCATTTCAGAAATGCTGATACACAAGTTCATCTGATTTCCAGGCTTGGCCAGCTCAGTCAGTGGGCATCATCAACCATGCAGCATACACTCCTCTATGATTTCTCCTGAGGCTAGCCGAATATTCATAGAGTTCGCTTATATTTTTATAGTCTGACAAAACTGGGGCTAAGTCAATTACAAGCCTTTGAGCAAGGCTAGGTAGAAGTGCATAGAATATTACACTTGGAGCCCAGACCACTGACTGTGAACCTCCTGTACTGTTGTTATTCAATGGTCAGGTGACCTTTGGACAACGTGTTAGGGCTCAGAGATGGGCTGTGAAAAGAAGGGTTTACAAAAAGGAGTGTTTATCTCTAATTTCCCTTTCAGTACCCTTTCATGAGCTTACGTTATCTCCCAGAAATAGTAGACAATGTTTAATCACCAGGTTCAGGAATGCAAAGAAGAAATTACCTTGGACAAGTGGTCAAAGTCAACACCACAAACAATGAGGTACTGACATACTGACATCTTGAATAGCAATCAGTACCCTTCAAAAAGCGGTGAGATTTAAAAGAGAAGGAAAGACTTAGGAACTTAGACTGCAAAAGACCAAGAAACAACAATGACATGCAGTGTGGTTCCTGGATAGTGCCCAGGCATAGAAAACGGATATAAATAGAAAAACTAGTGATTTAGTTAATAGCATTGAAGCAACATTCATTTCCTAGTTTTGCTAATTGCACTATTATCAATAACTGTGCTATGGCAGTGTATTGTGTCAATATTAGAAGAAACTTGGTGAGAGATATACCATTATTCCTTGTACACTATCTTTATAACATTTCTGTGAGCCTAAAGTTAGTTCAAAACTGACTTCCAAAATACAGAGAATATTTGGAACATTTATAGGAAAACACATATGCAGCCTTCATTGTAACGATGCCAATAAATTCATAATTAAGTTTCTTTATGGTCAATATCAGAATCCAGAAAAGGAATACAACTTCAAAAACTGCCTCCTTGCAATCAATGGTTAAAGAATTTCCAAGCACCCAGTGCATAAGCAAATGATATTTATTAACAT